CTCGTGTTGGATACACGTACTTTTTTTCTTAGTCCGTTCGGTAAACGGATAATAAAAATAAAACTTGTCTTTCGGACGGACCACAGTATTCACTAATAAAGGCCAACGCAAAACTCCTCTTGGAGGTTTACTAACCGGCTTTTTCACGTTGAGCAATCTTGCTAACTATCGATGGAATAGAATTGCGAAAGAAAGAAAGAACAAATATTACGGAAAATTGCACATTTATTTTATAAAAGTTGGTTAATATGTTTTCCATCCTGCCGCTTGCATAGCAAACTACGGAGAAGATACTTCTCTTCCACCTTCGGAATAGTAGCAATTGTACTACTTTCGCACTGAGCCTCGAACATCGCTCGCCGCAGCATACACTCGACACTTCAAAGACAACTGGATGTCACGACGGCACCAAAAATGTCTCAAGTTGGCAAACGCCAACCGAGCCTACTGTATGCGAGCTAACACTTCATCCATGATGTGCCCACCGGGTGAGATGAAGTAAAATTTCACACTATGAAGATGCGAAACGAATACCGAACAGGGCTAGACTGGCATCTAAGCTGTCCAGAAAAGCTTGCAACAAATTTGCATAGCTTCGTTGATTTGCTACCGATATCCATTGAGTCTGAATTGTCCAAGTATTCCACTTGAGTATTGAAGTCCCCGGCGACTAGTACGACGTCCGTTGATCGAGCACTTTAGAGTAGTTGAGAAAGATACTTGTAGAATTCATCCTTGATTTCAAGGGTACTGCAATCGGTTGGTGCATACGCAGATACGACGAATAAGCATTGACGCTTAGTTCTGTAGTTGTTGACCAGTGCCGAACCATTGAGACGTACAGCGCACAAACGGCTACTGACCGGAATCCAGTCAAGGANNNGAAGCATGAGTTTGAGGTTGGATCAGGAGAGCACGGGGAGATAACTGAAGTAGGGTCTCGTATGTGTTCCGGAAACACACCTTACATCTAAATTTAAAGTTTCAAGGTTCCAGCTAAGGCAGCTTGTTGACCAATCTGATAGAGTGCGCGGAATTTGAATGCGCTAAGTAAAAAGGAATCTCAACTTTGAAAATCCTATAACTTTTGATTGTATGGCCTTGGTGGGAAAGCGCTGAGTGATAAACGATGGGTCTCGTAAACAAGAACCATCTGGGTTTATTTGGTGTTGAGAGGAAGAGCTGGACAGATATGAAAGGGGTTTTCCAAACAAGTTCTCTGGTGTTGAGACGTTCCCTCGATTAGGAATTTAACTACCGATGGAGAGTCTAAAGAGGATCAGAAGGATGGATCCCAAATTCAATTTATCTGTCTCCCTTGGATTTCTTTATGTGGGCGTGTATGAAGCGAATAGTTTATTTCGGAAAATCAAAAGCGATCGACAAGCTACAGTAGGGTATCGCCGCGAAGTGCGAAAGTAGTACAATTGCTACTATTCCGAAGGTGGAAGAGAAGTATCTTCTCCGTAGTTTGCTATGCAAGCGGCAGGATGGAAAACATATTAACCAACTTTTATAAAATAAATGTGCAATTTTCCGTAATATTTGTTCTTTCTTTCTTTCGCAATTCTATTCCATCGATAGTTAGCAAGATTGCTCAACGTGAAAAAGCCGGTTAGTAAACCTCCAAGAGGAGTTTTGCGTTGGCCTTTATTAGTGAATACTGTGGTCCGTCCGAAAGACAAGTTTTATTTTTATTATCCGTTTACCGAACGGACTAAGAAAAAAAGTACGTGTATCCAACACGAGCCAAATGTTGGTCTGTGTTGTCATCTCTCAAAGGTTCTCCATTCCAAATTACCCACATGACATATGGTTCCGCAACTGATTCTCCTGTAGTGATTCTCTACCAACCCCCAAGCAGCATCCAATTCACCGACTATGCCTACCCGGTGATCACACAACCGATCGGGTTCATTAATCTGTCGCTTGGATAGTTCAGCCGCAGAAAGGGACCTGGTGCTTGCCCAGCTAACCCGAGCGAGAAATCACACATTGACAAAATATTGAAAATTGGTTCTCGTAGCTCGGGTGAACTGATTTCCATTTCGCCTGTTCGCCGAGCTTGGCAATTTGTTTCCACATGTTTCATCACCAGGCGAGGTGATATCATC